AATGAAATGTGAGCCACTTTGCGGCCGCAAAGCACGTCCAAATGGTTATTTAGAGCTTATATATCCATGCTGAAAATTTTGCATTCAAAGTTAGAGATGACCAATATTGAGACAAGTTGGGGTAGTTATTTTAACTTACTTCTATTGGCAGCATTTCGCCTGAAGGATTTAATTTCTATAGATGCATTGCAATTATTTTTGCTAAGTTAACTATCATTTAAGAATGCTGAAATTTGAGTTGTCAGTGGCTACTGAGCGAATTATGACTGCGGCTAAGAAGCACGGATTTGTACGGTTTTGGGAGCTCTCTGAAGCACGGAGCATCGGCGAAAACCCCATATGCTATTACGTGGGGATGTTGACGAAAATCGTCGCCTAGAACGCTCTCAACAGCACTCATTTGAACACCATACATTTTTGCAATGCCCTGAATTTCTATTCGTATTGAGCGCCCCTATAAGGGGATTGCACAAAGGACTAAGCGAGCATTCGGCATGTGAGATGGCTCGCAAAATTTCAAGACAAAGAAACAAAATCAGAAACTGAATGGATGAATTCAGTCAAATATATGCTACCTCAATTAACTATCAAAAGAATGATGAATGATGAGTGAATAGTGCGTTAATGAAGCTGCAAAGAAGCCCTACTTCTCTAAAAACGATGGGAAAATGAGATGCAAATGACGAAAACTTATATGCCCGTAAAATGAGATACGAGAATAACTCAATATTCGACAAGATTGATGACAACTCACCATCTATGAAACATAGTGTATGACTTTCTTGAGGATTCGGCACTGTCTGATGTGGCAACGACATTGTTTGATAGCGTAAAGAAACCGGAAGAAGTGGAAGACGTCGACCCGTCAGAAACGATGATGGATTTACTGAAACTGTTCATAGTGGCTGATGTCGAATGTATACTCAACTTTTAACGCAAGAATTCAATGAATTCTTTATCGATTTGATAAAGCGTTTAAGACCCATGGCTAGCTAAAACGTTATGATAATTACAGGAAAATCAATCTCCCTTTATCGTCTGCCATGTAGTCGTGAATGGCAGGCACTTGGATCCATTATCTTACGATAAAGTTCAAATATATAAAAACTTAAACAGAACAACAGATGACGAAAATGCTTGTGCGTGACGGGATGGCAACAATCCACACGTAATCGCTTCGCTTTGTATTAATTGTTCCATTGAGTGACTTCCAATAGAACTTCAACAATCAGTTAAATTCTCATTACTTACTGATCTCATTTGCATTATGATTCTACTGACAACTATAACTATTCATATAGTCTGGATAAACATTTAAAAAATGTTATTCTCATTCAATTATACTGAATGCAACCTGGAGAAAATGTAAGTCAACATGCCTTGTGTTTTCACTAGATAGAACTAATTTGGAAAAGAAATTATTTGCACTATTCTAGAAGTGTAATTCGATACGCACCTGCTTCGTTTTGTTTGGCCTGCAAAGGAAAAATGCATTCAAATGGCGACTTGCTACTGGCTATCAACTTTCCCAAACAATTATCTACTCTCTAGCGTTCCCTTGAGCACAACTCAGATTTTTAAATGAGACGTGTATGTTACTGTAAGCTAACTGTAATTCGTAATATTATGCAAGTTCAAATCTCATCCGCGACAAACAAAGCAATTAACTTCACTTCTCATCATGCTTACCCTCACACCTGCCCCCTTTCATTCCGGCACCGATTATGTAGTAGAACATTAGAAAACGCTCAATATGTTATTGAAGTGACAAATAGATAATGTTTAAAAAAACCATTGCTGTTTTGATGATAATTCGATTGGTCAGCCATTGCAGAGCCAAAGAAGAGATTTTATGAAATAGAGCATAATCAAGGGAAGTACTATAATTTTTATCGCAAATCTTAAAAAATTTAGATATTTATGCATGAAGTTATGTTTAAAATAAGGTGTATCTGCAATTCTACGTTTTTCCTTTACAAGCCAAAGATCTTCTTTTGACAACAGCAACGCATTATAGCAAATCTTTCTTCACTATATCAGTGCATGAGTTCTAAATTCACAGCACTTCGCAGCATCTTTGGATCGAAATCACCAGGCCAAAAATTTTAGAATTTTGAACCACTTCTTTCTCAAATATGCAGTTCAGTACATATATAACGTGTACGTATGCATATTCGCCTGGAAGCTGGCGGTTCTAACTTTTTTTATTCCTACAACACTTGCAGAGTATCCACACTCTTAGAAACACACTTTTTCGTTATTGCGCTTCATTACTTTCGACCAAAAGAAAAAAGAAAGAATACAAAACAAATGGTTTAGCGATAACAATTTCCCACGCCTCGATCAAGTTTCAAAAATGAACGTTGCAAATGCATGGAGATGCAAGAAGTTCACCATTCTCGGGATACTAACAGACACATGTTTCTTTTCAATTCAAAAACAACAACTTTCAGAAATTGTTGTGGTTCGTTTTTGTTTGACATGGTGTGCAACCAGAAAACGACCAGATTCTGACCTTACTTGTAACACACAGAATTTAGATACTAAAATAACAATAAACAGGACACTACAATAGGAAGTATTAGTTCCTCCCAGGAACAAAATTGTAGGTACGGACAAAAATTTTGATGCTAATAGATATCTGTAGGTTTATCATGTGGAAGATCTTCATTTATAGGCCTATATATAGCTGGAAAAAAATTTTTTGATGGTCAAAAGTATCAATTGAATTTTCAATAAGTAAATATAAACGGCCACGAGTTAAGCTAAGCATATGGTTTATATCTGCAAGCTCAAGCAAAAACCTGAGGTCTTCGGAATACTCAGATTTTGTAAGCGATTAAAGCGTAGAACAAGACTAGAAATTTACGACAAAGCGATCGGGGCAGTGTTATGACAGAAATGGATGTTTTGAACAGCAATTAGGACAAAGCCATGCGGCTCGAGACATGGGCTTTGCCCTAAATGTTGTTCAAAACATGAAGGCATAAGGAGCATTACGTCATTGTAGGTCTGGCGCGGCTGTACGCTAGAACTGCACGAGGCCATCGACAGAATTGGCTGAAGTGGACAGAAAAACAATCAAGCCTGGCGATGGTTGAGAGGAATCGACGTCTCTGCAGAACCAATACGACGCCATGCATTTGAGGGTGAGCCTGGGCTGAGAGAGAGCTAATATACATCGGATAAGCATAGCAGATGGATACGGGATTTCTGCAGACCCAAAAAGAAGTCTGGAAGGGCAACGAGATTTGCGAGTTATAAATTCAGCGAAACGAGAATGTACAATTCATTTTATTTCCCTCACTGCTAAAAGATGAAGAAGACGTTGCGAATGGAAGGCCGAAATGAGGAGAGGAGAAGAATCGATAAAGAGA